ATATTAACTAAAGACGTACGTAAAATTAGAATGTTAAAAATAAAATAAATGAAAGTATTAAATAGTAAATAAATCAAACTAATTGTTAAAATTATATTTTTGCAGGTCTCTCTTAACTTTCTGACGCACTCCTCTTTTTAATTAATTGCCTCTTAAGGGAGGATGTGAGAAAAAAATTAACTGTAAAGGATATGTTTAGTATAATAAATTAACTTTTTATTTTTTGAAATTATATATAATACTTGAAATAAAAATAAATTTTAAAAAAAGTACAAAGCTTAAAAATATATTTTTATATTTTAGAAATAAAATTTCATAGGATTTGTAATATATTTTCTCTGTTGCTTATAAGTATGACACGTACCGCTACAAATATTTTTAGATATAAACTTTTTTTTTTTTTAAATCTAAGGAAAAAGAAGTGTAAAAAATATATATATATTTTTACACGTAATAAACTAATCTAATAAGATTATACTTAATATTCCAATATTTTATTGTATTTTTTCATCTAAATTTTTATTTAAAAGTTATGGTGAATATTGTATTATAATTGATATACATATATATATATATGTCAATTAATAAAATTTATTAATTTACTTAACAAAAATTAAATGATTATAACTCAACAACTTTACTCGCACACATACACATATTAAATATTCACAAAATTGCATCTAATATTTATGTACACACACACACACACACATATATATAATATGTTTATGAAAATGTAAATATATGGAAGTATGTAAGTACTGTTTGGTATTTGTTAAGTGAGAATCAAAAAGGTTATTGAAAAAAAAAAAAAAAAAAAAAACACATTAACAATTCAAACATTTTTTAACATCTCTAATCAGCTGCCTTTTTTTATTTTCAATCATCAAGATTCCACTTTTTATTACTTAATAAAACTTACCAACTTTTATTAAAAGAGAAAATCTAATTAACTCCTCTTAATTACTCAATTAATTAGTGATTAGTATAATTATTACGTTTTAAGATAAACATAATTCATGAATCATCATCCGGGGTTTAAATTTCTACGTCAATAAATCTGCCATACACCTCCGAGATTGGGAGCATTTATGCGTCTAATACAAAAATATATATATATATATACACATTTACTTATGTATATGTATATGTATATTTATACTTGACCTACCATGTTAGTATTATTATTAATAAAGACCTAACTGCTTGTTTTTGCTCATCTATTTATTATTAAAATGGTGTCCATAAATGTTGTACGAACCAAAAATCACTCGTGACAAAACGCAAGACTCTCACCCGTTTTAATGCCTTCAACAATTTATTTCTTTCCCCACTGCTGTTAATTAATTGTATAATAATTTCCAATTTAAAAAAGCCAAATTTTAATTATGATATCTATTCATGGATTTTGTAATTTACCCATAAATTTTTCTTTGGTTTTTCCTTTTTATTTTTTTTATCTCCTTAAAATATATATATATATATATACTTTTCATCATCTATACGTACTATGTTTTAAACAAAAATATGTATGCTTTTCAGTAATTAAAAATTAACACACACACACACACACACACACACATATATATATATATACTTTATTTACATTGCTCAAATTGTTGTGGGCTAATGCAATAAATTGATTAAGAGGGTAATGCTAATTAACCTTTGAATTGGATTATGTATCAAAAATTTCCAACATTCTTCACTATAATTAAAAAAAATACAAACATTCAAAGTTTATAATGTGTCAAATTATAACCAGGATATATGTGTGTGTGTGTATATATATATATATATATATTAATGTTTTTAATCTTATGATCTCCCACATAAATCTACCAAAGTAATTAAAAAGTAATTGAAAAGTAACTAATACAATAATTGACTAGGATTAATAACATTCATTAATCAATCGCTTAAAAGATGAAGAATTTCATTAAATAATATATGTAGCATCTTGAAATTACAAACATATTTAAAATAAAACTTCCAAAAGTATATATTTTCCATACATATTTTAAGATTTTGGGTGGATAACATATATGTATATACATATATGGGGAGATATAGTTGTAGAAACAAGGATGGTGTACTCAAAAGCTTTGTTGTAAAAAAATATGATATGAAATTTTCCACCAATAAGAAGAAAAAGTTACTCATTGGGAGTTGTATTGAAAATTATTTAATGCTTTGCCCAATTTAATCAAAGTATTGGGTGCATTAATCACAATTATTTATGTTAATTCTTAGTAAACAATATACAACAATTGTATAATTAATGTAATTATGATGACATATTTTTTCTTTTCAATTATAGAAATTAATTTTCTTAACTAGACCCAATTATAGAAATTGAACCATGTAATTGCTCAATAATTATCATAAACCATACCAAGCTTTTTCACCCTACTTTAGTTTAATTAAGTTGTTTATCTATATTGTTATATTGGTATGTAAATAATTTTTCATACAAATCTTTTTCAAAATCATTATTCTTCAAATATAAATATTTAGTGATTGAAAATTACATAATTATAATTTATTTTTAATAAATAAAAATATTTATTAAATAAATTTTAAAAACTTTCGTCGTTTTTCTCGTAACGAGTTTCTGTCAAATATAACAGACTTGTCTGCTGTGTTAGTATTAATATCAAATTTTTTTATATATAATATATGAGTATAGAAAAGTTATTCAAACCTAAATATTATGAATTTTTTATTATTTTATTTGTATATAATGATAAAATATAATTTAAAATCTTTCACTAAAATTTTTTTAAACATATTTGATACAATTATTTATTATATTTTTTATTATGTTATAATGATATCTATTTCTGTGTGGAGTATTCGTTAAGACATATATGAATCATGATTTATTCGTCTTGTATACTATTTTTTACTTGATTTAAATTATATGTTACCTATATAAAATTTTCTCGCTGTCATTAATATTTGTGATCATAATTACTCATTACTATCTGTAATTATTATTTTTTTCATTAAATATATAATTATTAATTTTTAAAAGCTATTTTCTTATTGTTTTCTAATCAATTTATTTTTTAAAATATTAAACTTTTACGTACTTACATTTAGAGACCTAAATATGTACTTGTATCATCCAAGAAGAAGGGAAATCTAGTGTTTATTAAATTTAAAATTTAAATCTAAAATTAAAACCCGAGAGTTGACCATTGACCATAGTAAACAAGAAATCTTGTCTCTTGCGAAATCAACGAATAATATACAGAGATCCCGGCGATTGAGTAAAAAATTACTTAAACTCTAAACTAGGGATTAATTAAGTTAAATACTGTAATTACTCACGGTAATTAAGTTAACTACAGAGCTTAACCCAAAAAATCGAAACCCAAGAAAGAAAACAACACAAAAAAATTAATTATTGCACGAAATGTACGGGTTTACAGTTTAATTACAAGCAACCAAACCAGTACACCCCCCTTCTAACTTCTCTACAGTTCATTCCATGCTTTTCGTTCAGTTAATTATTTTTTTTACAGATCCCAATGTCTGTTCCGCTGTAAAAATCTGATGTAACTTTTTTTTTTTTCTTTTTTTTTAACCACAGACCCGTAAGACAGTTATTATTATTTTTTTTCTTTTTACAATTTTAACTTTCAATCAAAGACTTTTTTAGAGAGAGAAAAGATTGGGAGTGAAGTCAACCGACCCTTTTTGGTAGTATGTATTTGTAAGGCTTCGAAGAGTCCACATATTGCGTTTTATCTTCACCTTTTTTCCTCTCCCTGCTTTCCAATTTTTTTTCTTTTTCCTTTTTTAATCTTTCTGTGCAAATCTTCAAACCTTTTTGGGTATTCTCTATATATATAAATATATTTTTTATTCTCCAGTTGGGACTTCCATTTCTTCTTCTTCTGAAGCTTTTTTTTTTTAAAAGTTTTCTCACTTGTTAGTCAAAAACATGCAGAGAGAACGAGAAGATAAACAGTAGCCCAAAAACTAGGGTTTCCCAGCACATTAAAGCACTGATTTTGGGCTTTTTTTCTGGAGAGAGAGGGAGCCGGTGAGAGAGAGAGAGAGGGATAGAGAAGGAAGAGCCAAGCAGAAAAAAAGATTGAGGAAAAGGGTTTGCTAAGCTAGCCTTCTTTCTCTTTCTTTCTCTCCAAACAGATTTATTGTAGAGAGGGAGTTGGAGACATTTGGGTTTGTTTTCCTTTTGTCTCCTCTATCCTCTCTCTGGTTTTTTTTTTTTTTTTTTTTAATTTTGTTTCCTTCTCTACTCTTTCTCTTTCTTTCTTTGGTTTTTCCTTTTCTCGGGCTGTTTCAAAGATTGTTTTTCACAGGTTGAAACTTTTCTTTCTCTTAATGTATATGATACCCTTCACTCAATTTCTGGATTGGAGATATACTTTTATATAAATGGCAAAATCTGGGTCGTGAAGCAAAATCAGTCGGCGAGAGGGAGGATATACATACATACATATATTTATAGACTGTCTGTAAATTAGTACAGAGAGAGAAGAGTCGAATCTAGAGCGATTATTTGCTTGATCAGTACTAATTAGAGGTAAAGAGTATTTTTATTTGATGAGTTTTGGGGGATTCCTCGATAGCAGCACTGGTGGTGGCGGTGCACGAATCGTCGCTGACATCTCTTACGGCAACCACAACCACCATAACGCTGGCGCCAACATGCCCAGTGGTGCCATTGCTCAGCCGCGACTTCTCTCTCCTTCTCTCACCAAATCCATGTTCCACTCTCCTGGCCTTTCCCTCGCTCTCGTACGCTCTCCTCTCCGCCTCTCTCTCTCTCCGCCTTGTTTTGTCCTTCTTGTTTCTGGGTCGGTACTGATGTTTTGTTTTTTCTTTTTTGGGAAAATTTCTCGGTGATTTTGCAGCAGCAACCGAACATAGACAACCAGGGGGATGTGACTGGAATGGGCGAGAATTTCGAAGGGAGTGTCAATAGGAGAAGCAGAGAAGAGGAGAGCAGATCTGGGAGTGATAACATGGACGGAGCTTCCGGTGATGATCAAGATGTTGCCGATAAGCCGCCGAGGAAGAAGAGATATCACCGACACACTCCTCAGCAAATCCAGGAACTTGAAGCGTATGTATCCACTTCCATGTTTCAAGTATTAGTAATAATTTTCCTGAAACAAAAAATACCGATGGGTTTGATTTTATTTTGTTTTTAGACTATTCAAGGAGTGTCCTCATCCTGACGAGAAGCAAAGACTGGAACTCAGCAAGCGTCTCTGCTTGGAGACCAGGCAAGTTAAGTTCTGGTTCCAAAATCGCCGAACCCAAATGAAGGTGATGATCTGTAATTTGATGATTATGTACAGAGTGATCTTTGTTTTATGTGTACTGGATTAATGGAGAGAGAGATTTTCATTTTTGCACCAGACCCAACTGGAGCGTCACGAGAACACACTGCTTCGTCAAGAAAATGACAAGCTTCGGGCGGAGAACATGTCGATCAGGGACGCCATGAGGAACCCAATTTGCAGCAACTGCGGCGGTCCAGCTATTCTCGGTGAAGTATCTCTCGAAGAGCAACATCTCAGGATCGAGAATGCCCGATTGAAAGACGAGTTAGATCGAGTCTGTGCACTTGCTGGCAAGTTTTTGGGACGACCCATTTCTTCCCTAGGCGCATCGATTGCAGGTCCGATGCCAAACTCAGCTCTCGAACTCGGTGTCGGAACCACCAACGGATTCGGCGGGTTAACCACCGTGTCCTCCGCCACATTGCCTTTAGTCCCTGCTGATTTCGGAGGTGGGATTTCCGGTCCGTTGCAAATAGTGACTTCTAACAGACCGGTTACGACCGGTCTGACCGGACTCGACCGGTCGATTGAAAGATCTATGTTTCTGGAACTTGCTTTGGCTGGCATGGATGAATTGGTGAAGATGGCACAGACTGATGAGCCGCTTTGGATCAGAAGCCTGGAAGGAGGCAGGGAGATACTCAACCATGAAGAATACATGAGAACATTCACTCCTTGCATTGGGTTAAAACCCAATGGCTTCGTCACCGAGGCTTCACGTGAAACCGGCATGGTTATCATCAACAGTTTAGCTCTTGTCGAGACTCTAATGAACTCAGTGAGTCACACAAACATAAACCCAACATCTCTAATCTCCAATTTACAACAAATTTTACCCATTTTAGTTCATTAAAATTGACATTTAATCTCTACAGAATCGATGGGCGGAGATGTTTCCTTGTATGATTGCGAGAACCTCAACTACTGATGTGATATCTGGCGGCATGGGTGGAACCAGAAATGGTGCACTTCAACTGGTAAGTTTTTCAATTAATTTCTTCCATTAATGGTTACCATCATGAAGATTGTATCCTCAATTAACTTTTTTTTTTTTTCGAATAGATGCATGCAGAGCTACAAGTGCTATCTCCTCTAGTCCCGGTGCGTGAGGTAAATTTTCTCAGGTTCTGCAAGCAGCACGCAGAGGGAGTGTGGGCGGTGGTTGATGTGTCAATTGACAGCATCAGAGAAACTCCTGGCGCACCGAGTTTTGTGAGCTGCCGGAAGCTTCCTTCCGGCTGCGTCGTCCAAGATATGCCCAATGGCTACTCTAAGGTACTACTTAATACTTTTATTAATATTCACTGCCATTCTTTTTGCTAATTATTGAACACTTAATGTGATTTTCCAAGTGGGTGTTCTTTGGATAAACTTAAAATAAGTTGGCTCCGATTATTTTGTACAGTAATTATAAGATGACATAGTCTTTATAGTGAAGTTTACTTTTTTCTTTGAAAAATAATGAAAAAGAAAATAAAATACCAACCCATATTCATCATCTTGAAAGAGCTCATGAATCTAAGGATTTTGCTGTCTAGTGATTAATCACTGTACCCACTACAGCTGCCTAGTTTTGCAGAGAGGTGAACCTTCCTAATATCTTACTATATTCAGCAGAATACTCCATGCTCCTCCTTGGGGTGTCAAATTACATAATTTAGATTTTAAGTTTCCACAACTGGGTCTGCGGATTAATACTAGAATAATGCATTCGTACATCGGGAAATCGAAGCTAACGCTATTATTTAATCGAATAGAAGTATCTATCTCACCAATTTATATGCCTTGAGCACATTAATTTCATATCCTTTATGTATGATTTTCCAGTGCTTGGGGTTTAATAAACTATAAATATGATGTTTCTATTCCAATCTTTGATGCTATCTTGGAATTCCCACTAGTTACACCAACAATATTTAATTAATGTAACTGTGGGCGACCTGGTTCCAGCCTCATGATCCGCTCGCTTCCCTCTATTTTAATTTTACTTTTAGAAAAATGAAGACTTAGTTAGTCAAATTCCCAAAGACTGGCTCTTTTTGTTTGTATGTGTACGAGTATCTAAACTTTTTTTTTTTGGGTACAAATCTCGGTACATACATTAGTTTTGCTTCGTCTTCTTCCTTCAGATCTTGCTAAACTTTATATGCCATGAATATTTTTTGCCTTGGTGGTGATTCTTCTTTCATTGAGCCTAATCACTTCAACTACTTCCAAGATTTGGCTTCTACAAGAATTGGCTTCTACAAGAATATGCTTCTCAATGACTTATCATATTTGATATTTTAAAATTAGTAAAAAGAATGACAAAAGTGAGTAAAAAATAGTGTCATATGTTACATGTCATTGACAATATTTTTAGCTTTGTTTATACAGAGAGTTTGACTGGCAGTTCCATTGCACAGATACCAGTATTTTAATCTTTATTTTCTGTTTTAGTATTTCAGAACAATATCAGACGAATCTGATCCAAAAAAATTGAATTTTCTTCCTGCAATAGTAGTAGTAGAGTCAATTATTGGGTGTAGTAGAGAGGTGAGTGACAGAAAAGAAAGTGCAGGTTACATGGGTGGAACATGCGGAGTACGACGAAAGCCAAGTTCACCAGCTATATCGACCTTTACTTGGCTCCGGCATGGGCTTCGGTGCTCAACGATGGGTCGCCACGCTTCAACGTCAATGCGAGTGCCTTGCCATTCTTATGTCCTCCGCGGTCCCTTCCAGAGATCACACTGGTATAATATATAATGATATTTTCATATTTGATTGAAGTCATGGATAATTAGAGTTTTAGGAAAATTATATATAATGTGTTGTGTAAATTGCAGCGATAACTGCGAGTGGAAGAAGAAGCATGCTGAAGTTGGCACAGAGGATGACGGATAACTTCTGTGCGGGGGTGTGCGCTTCGACGGTGCACAAGTGGAACAAGCTGAGCGTAGGGAACGTGGATGAGGACGTGAGGGTGATGACTCGAAAGAGCGTAGACGATCCAGGGGAACCGCCGGGAATAGTGTTGAGCGCGGCCACCTCCGTATGGCTGCCGGTTTCGCCGCAGAGACTGTTTGACTTCCTCCGCGACGAACGGCTGAGGAGCGAGTGGGACATCTTATCAAATGGCGGACCCATGCAGGAGATGGCCCATATTGCCAAAGGCCAGGATCATGGCAACTGCGTCTCCCTACTCCGTGCCAGTGTAACTCTCTCTCTCTCTCTCTCTCGCTCGCTTTCTATCATCTCTGTTAAATGATTTTAAAAATCTTTCTTGCTTTTCGATGGATTGGATATGGGGTTTAGCGCCAGAAAAATGACGGAGGAGAGACCCTGAAGCTGTGGTGAGTTAGGGTTTGTCCTTAAAGGGGGATAATTTCGAAGGACGAGTCTGGAATTTGGAATTATGTATGCGGACACGTTAATGGCAGTATATAGAAAGCAACTCCATGTTTGTAAGCTTTAAAAAGTCAAAATAATAGGACAGTTGTAGCCTTTCACATTTTTGTTTTGACCTTTATTTCCTGCATCAATCAACCCTTTCTTTCGCCTTTCTTTTTCCCACTTCATCTCCTCCCCTGTCCCCCACCATGTCAGGTTTTGACTACCTCTCTAGTCTCTCTCTCTCTCTCTCTCTCTCTCTACTGTTATGATGCTGACACAAACCCAAAAGTAAGATTACAGTAAAAGGTTGCCAATGGCATGTTTTGTAAATTCGATGGGTAGCTGTAGTTAAACCAGTAATTTTACTCTTGCAGGCCATGAACGCCAACCAGAGCAGCATGTTGATACTCCAAGAGACTTGCATAGACGCGGCAGGATCTCTAGTTGTGTACGCGCCCGTTGACATTCCAGCCATGCACGTGGTAATGAACGGTGGTGATTCGGCTTACGTGGCTCTGCTTCCTTCTGGCTTCGCTATCGTACCGGATGGTCCAGGCTCTCGTGGACCAACCGTCCCTAACGGCCCCACCAGCTGCAATGGTGCTGGCAGTGACGGTGGCGTAGGTGGCCCGCAGAGAGTGGGAGGATCTCTCCTCACAGTTGCCTTTCAGATTCTCGTGAACAGCCTTCCTACGGCCAAGCTGACGGTGGAATCGGTGGAGACGGTCAACAATCTGATATCATGTACGGTTCAGAAGATCAAGGCGGCTCTACAGTGCGAAAGCTGATGTGGGTGGGCCAGCACTCACGTGGGCATGCATGGCCTTTTTAACGTCATCAATGGCGGTGTCTTCTGTGTATGTTGGTGTTGTAGTTATTATAACTTATGATAAGTGAGGGTGTGTGGTGAGTTGCATGAATAGAAACTCGGAGTGAGTTTTGGGGGGTGGTGAGTCAAGAACGAACCGCGCGTGAAACAACTCCTTGCATGGTGATAAGGATGGATGCAGGCCCCGAGTCTGTGCGACTCGGTAGCTAGACTGTTCTTAACACAAGGCAAGGGTGGTGGTTCGGGTATTGACTCAGTACAACCCCCTGAGTTGGCTCAAGTACTAAAAAAAAGGCAGACGAAACATGAAATTCAAAACATGGTCGTGTTAACTCAGTCCCATTTTGGGATTTCTTTTTTAATCTGTTCTTTTTTTTTAATATTAAAAATTTACTGCGTGTAGTGCTGGTGTTGGTAGTTATTTTCCCAGTGATTTCATATTTTTGTACTTGTTTTTTTTAACAGTTTTACCGCAATTCGGTGATTAAAAGCACGCGCCACCGTGGGAAGTGACGTAGGTGAGGGAAAATGACGGGATGAGAGAGTGGTTTGACGTTGTTTGTGGTGATGGGGTTTTTTTTTTTTTTAAAAAAAAAGGGCATTAAATGCGAGAGCAGAAGGTGTTGGGAGAAAGCGTTGGGGAACATTAAATGCAAGAGAGAGAGCGGGAGGTGGTAAGGTGAGGGAATGCCTATGGGGTTTCGTGTACCAACCAATCACAGTGGGCCACGTTGTTGGATGGCATCTATAGGGGGTGGTGAAAGGGCAGTCTGACACCAATGGCGTTTTATAGTTTAGAATTGGATGAAGTCTGCCGTTTTGGTAATTTGATTAATCCATGGGTTAATTTGTAATTTTGTTATGACCCGCCTAGTGGATCCCAATTTTATTTATATATAAAAAAAAAAAAACCCTTTTTTTCATGGACATGATGAATTTTCTTTTTGGAATTGTTCAGCTTATATACATGATATATACGTGATGTATGTATATCTATACGGGATGTATGTATATATATCCGCATGTCCTTTCATGTGATAAATGCATGACAGAGAGAGAGAGAGAGAGAGGGAGAAGGAGAGAGAAGGGTAAGAAAATTTGTACATAAAAGGCGTTTTGGTTGGTAGGAAACTAGCTTCCCTGCCAACCCCTCAACTCTAGTTATTAAAGTTGAATTTAACTAGGTAATATAACTTTATATAATTTAAATGATATGTGACTAAATGTTTTTGTGTGTGTATATATATATGTATGCCCTGTAAAATCAATGGTAGAAAAGAGCAAGAACATTATGTTGAAGAAGGAAGAAGATATAGTAAGGGTATTGAGAAAAAAGTTAAAAAGAGTAACGAATTAAGAAAAGAAGAAAACGAGGGGGTAAAACATGAGTAATTTTAAGTAGGTAAAAAGTGAAAAGAGAAGAGATAAGGGAGTGTTTGTTTTGTGGTTGTTCCTAATATTCCATCTGACCAGTTTAAGAGACTTTTTATTCCAATTGGCAAACAACATTTAATGACTTTTGAAACATGGACAAAACCTTTCTCTCAAATTGCATGCTAAGCTGTCATTAACAGTCGAAGCATTTCAATTTAGGAATCATGAGCTAACTGGGTCTTTAAACGCTGTACTGGAAGTCTGTATGGTTAATTTCTATTTTACAACACTATAAAACAATGTTTATTTCATCATCCCCATCCATATATAAAACAAACCCAGATGTAATGTAGTGTATACATACATACATACATATATATATATATATGCGTGGGTTGACATTTGAAAATGGTGGAAGAAAAGCAGAAAGAAAGAAAAGAAAGATTTCGAGAGAGTGGTGAAAATTATGTTGGTGGGAGGAAAGTGAAGTTGATATCACGGATTAAGTTGATTACTTTTTTTAGGCTTAATTTCTTTTTGATTGCGTGACGACAACAATGTTGCCGATGTATACATATATATATATATATATATATATTTGCATACATTATCAGATTATAATTGCCTGCATATTCAGAAATATTAAGAAACAATAACGTGGGTACAGCTCTGCCAAATTCAAATTAAAAAATAATACTAATTCTTCAACTTTATTTTTTGTAAATCAAATTTAACTTGAAATGAAAAAGTGTCACCAAATCTTGTGACATATATAGAACTAAATGATTTTTATACACTACTGGATTAACATTAATGGTGGTGATAGATATTGAAAATCTTGGCAGTTTGACACCATTTTGTAGTTTTTGATACTTTCCATGGACCACGTGCGAGGGTCATCTTCTTTCCATTCACAACTTGCACATACATACACACACACACACTTATATGTGTACATATATATATAGAATAATCTTTATGTTCGGCTTTTTATTTTTTCTGGGTACGAAGGATTTTTTCAGACTTTGAAACTATTTCTTCACAAAATAATAATTTGCATGTAGTAGTTATGAACACCACATTTTATAATATGTATATACATATATGTATAGTTTCTTCTGCTAAAATCTTTATGTATATATATTCATATATATGTTGATGTGTTAATGTAATGATGTAAAACTGGGGATTGAGTGTATTTAAATTGGAAGAGAACACGTGAGGTTCACAGGTGAGGACCAAATTAAGGCAATAAAGTCAAGAAAATGAAATGCTATCCTTTAGAGGGAATGGCAGCTCCTGGTTCGGTGACATGTTTTTGGACCTTCTACTTCTCTCTTTCTCTCTCTATATCTACATCCCTCCCACCATATATATACACACACAAGACAGTACGTATTATATCATATTAAATAACATAAATTTTAATTTTTTTAATAAATTAAAATATATACACTAATTATAACATAATCATCTAACATAAAATAACACATAAAACTATACACACTAATTATAACACAATCTTCTAAAATAACATAAGACATAAAATCACATATTTTAATTCGAATTTATAATTTTTTATAAAAAATAATGGGCATATTTTACTTTTTTATTTTATTGCATGAGGAGAACAATATAGGGGATATATGTATATATATAAAGTACACATAAATATAATCACAAGGATATATATGTATGTGTTTTAGTGCAAGATGATGATGATGAACCTCTCTTTTCCACTCTCTAGCTATCATCACATGGTTGTGGGTACCACTAAACATTGAAGATGGATGATGGTTGATGCGTACCTGCTTGTTTTTAATCTTCTACGCCTTCAATTTATTGCCCCTCATGTCCCATCCCTTCATCAACAGTGAATTCCATGACTAACCAGATCCAATCTACTCCAAACTCAATTCACTTGTCATGCAATGTAATAGTTGGGTTCGAAAATTAACTCAGATATAATTTATTTTATTTTATTTTATTATAAAAAAATATTTTAGTAATTAATTTTATTTATTTAAATTTAAATTTATCGAATTTTTAATAAAAAAAAATTAATGATAAAATTAAATAATTTAAAAAAAACAAGTAAAAATTTAAATTTGGATATATTTTTAAAAGAAAAATTAAAAATAGATGGTTAAAATACAAAAAAAGAAAAGTTCGACTATGTGGGACAACTCAGTCACCAGTTCCGGCGAACCAGAGCACGTCGTGTGGCAACCCCGCTGACATCGGCACTATGCGAGAAGTCATGCGAGCGATCTGTGTGCCCAACGATCCAACGGGCCAAATTCATCGCACGTACATAAACGGCTCAGATGCATTCCCTCTTTAGATGCGATCAAACGGATGAGACGGATCGTGATGGACGGCTCGGATTCGCCCACGCTATCAACTAAATGAAAAATCATCGAACGATCATTCTTGCTCTACATCAACACAAACGGGCGTCTAAGATAAAAGATGAGAGGATATTTAAACTCCTATTCGTAGTAGATTACACATGAGCCACCATCGATTGCCAAAAAGGTCAAAAAAAAAAAATTCCTTCCTATATGGAATTCGATTCCAAGTCTCTCTTTGGTCATATCGGAGAAAAAGTGACAGCAGGTGAGCCGAAAACCGTGGGCAAAGCCCGACGGAGCTGTCATGGCCAAACTCTAAAACCCCTCCGATGAGCATTTTTCCATTTCCCGTTTCACACAATTCTTTGACCATTGTGTTCACTGTGTATTTTCCTATGCCGTTTGAATTGCTTATTATATTGTACGTATTTAAATTGATGATTTTGAATTATTTTCTTGGATGGTTGGTTTACCCCACTACCCATTCCTGCGTTGGTCTGTTTTGAAATAAAATATCTCAACTATATTCTTAATATACATATCGTCTGTTTGCATAACATATTGTTGATTTGTAAATACGAAATGTTGACATGAAATTGACAATTGATTGATGATATAGATATATGTATGAAAGGCTTACTAGGTATCTTGAGAAAGGGTGGACGGGACTGGTACATACAGAATCCTACTGTGAATATTACCTCAGCCAGATGGGATTAAGAGGTCCCATATCGAAAATATTTAGAAAACATGGTTCACCCTCATACTGGACGAGATATCAAGACGGTAGTATATTTAGCGTTCATTACTAGACAGGGTATGGAGACAGTCGGGTTAACTGACAAACTTAGATATTAGGTTCATGTGTAAGGGAATATCCCTATGAACCCTTAGGTGTTCCAGTAAGTATGTTAAAAGGAGAATTGCTAATCTTTGTTCACTTATACATGAAATCATAATATTATCTGAGTATTTGTCATTATATGTTGATTTTGAAAAACTCGCGACGGTAAATATGGAATAAACGGTTTTCTCTATTGTCAAACAAATTTACTTAAATAAAGGGCTCCATTAGTTATTTTGTAATTTTTATCAACTTTTGCTTTTTTCGTACCAATGGTTAGAGTGATATTCTTATTGGGATAGTGTAGCTCACCATTTCATTAACCATTCAGATAAAAAAAATTAAGATCCAGATCCCGATCAGCAAAAAGATTGTGGGTAGTTCACCTCCCCGACTCCCTTCAAGTGTTAATGGAGGTTAACCCCTAGGATATCTATTTATTTATTTTTAATTATCTTTTATATTTTTTTATAAACTAATGTAGAAGGGACATTCTCGTAGCCCTATTGGGCATTCCAATTTACTATTTAAGAAATATAAACCCTAACTTTATTATTCGCTTCCGCATTCAGATAATAAATCTCTTTCTTTTAGTTTTTGGTTTTTACAGTTGGTATCAAAGTCGCGTTCCTCAAAATCATTTCTTACACAAAGACTCAAAACACCAAATATAAACTGTCGCCTAATCATTCCTTGTGAAATGCAGGTACAAGAATATGAGGAGAGGAAGGCCCCCATTAAATCGAATAGCTCGGAGTGGTTTGCTTTGAGAGGACGTTGATCGACTCTTTAAGATGTTGGAGAGACTCATCTCTGCCCTGCAGGCGTGGGAGGAAAAGAGGGAGCCATCTGACTCTCGCCCGCTGCC